AACAACCAAATTCACTGAAGTTGAGTAGGACCCAACTTATGGCGACCCCTCCTTGGGTTTCTGAGGCAGTACCAGTACGGAAGTAGACTGCCCAACCTTCCTTCTGAGGAGTGGCTGGTGGGTTTGAACCGCCAGCCTTCTGGTTAGCAGTCACACGCTCATCACTACAAAACACATTTGAACCTCTGACCTCTCAGTTAGCAGCTGAGCACTTTAACCATGGTGCCACCATGGCTTCTTATATTACATACACCATATTAATATATAACATAATATGTAATAGGCTAATAATAAAAGTATATGCACCCACATCCCATGTAAGGGAGACTTGAGCACAAATTCTTAAACAGTTAATGCATTTGTTTGTTGGTCACCAGCAGGCACACCAGGTGACGGTCTGGAGGCTGGATTCAGGGCCCTTGTGAAACACGGTGGTGGCACACATGGGTTTGCCTAGGGGGTCTGGGCTGGCAGGTGGTGCTGTGGGCGGTGGGTTACCTGGCAGGTATGGAGGAGGGGCTGTCGCCGGAGGTGGCTTTTGAGTTCCAGAAGGAAAACCAGAGCTTCTCAACGAAGTGGAACTGCAGGTTCATGACGACGTCCAGCGTGGCCTGAGGAGAGAGATGGGGGAGCACTGTCCTGGTGTGTCCTCACCATGCACCACGGCTTGCGGTGTGGCCCGGCAGGGTTTTGGAAGTGCACCGAGAGCAGCTCAGGGGCGGGAACGAGGGGAAGGAGTCTAGCCCAGAGAGGACACGCGGCCACTTTCTCGCCAGAGGGAAGAGGCCTGATGGGTGGACCAGGGTCTCCTTTGCTGTGTTGCCTGGAGCACCTGCAGCTGGGGGTTGGGGTCCAGGCAACGGCAGCCAAGCTCCCCGCCCACCCCGAGGAGGCAAGAGATGCAAGTGCAGCCCCCCAGGCGGCAGGGGGCGTCACCTCGCAGTGCCGCCTGTAGGCCAGCTGCAGGGCCTTGACGTCACGTAGTGTAAGGTCTCCTTGCAGTAGCATGCCGCCCAGATCCAGGGCCGGGAACTCTGGGAAGACGTGGGAGACATCTAGGGAGAGGGAACGGAGTGTCAGACACAAGCTCTGGGCAGAGAAAGGGGGCTAGGTCCTGGCCGCAGCTGCCCACACACAGAAGCCAGGCCAGGAGGCCCATCGTCTGGGGATGCCGGTGGGCAGGTGGGCTCGGCGTGTGGCAGCCACCAGGCTCTCCACACAGGGCACTTGATTTGTCAGCTCCAGTATGAAATGGGGACAAGGTTGCCCCTCCCAGGGATGCTAATAGGCTGACACAGATGAAGACGAGTCCTGGGCTTGGGACACGCTGCACACTCCAAGGCCACCATGCTATCGTCAGCAGCACTGAGAGCCACTTGTGGCTGCGAGACAAGGGCCCTGGTGCCCTGGTGATGTCCCGGGAGATGGGCCGCCTCCTCCTCGACCTCTCAGAAGACCCTGCATGGCTTGCTCTGTCTGAGCTCAGAGAATGCGTGGAAACTGTGGAGGCTGGTAAGTTCCTTGGAGTTCATCTGGGCCGTAACACTGAGGACAGAGGGCCCTGTGGAGCAGGCTGTGTGTCACAGTGCTGAACTTCCTGCAGGACAGACAGGGGCACTGACGCCCCCATTTAGCCAGCTGTGTGGCCCCCGGGGACTGGAGTGAGGCTGCCTCAGGTCAGCTGAATGGTGAGAGAGGACTCATTTTGAAGGGGTTCTGAGCACCCGTAAGGAGACCCTGGGGGTGCAAACAGTCAGGTTTACTCAGCTGCTCACCAAAAGATTGGGGGTTTGAGTCCACCCAGGGGTGGCTCAGAAGAAAAGCCTGGCAGTCTATGTCTGAAAACTCAGTCACTTGCCAACCCTACGGACACAGGTCTCCTGTGACGCACGAGGTTGCTCTGAGTTGGAGTCGCCTTGATGGCACCTAGTCTGGTTGAGTGTCCTTCCATGCTCCAGGTAAGCCAGGAGAAAAGCCCAGGTGTGGGGCTGAATTCCCCGCCGCCTCCAGACTGGCTGCCAGGTTTTAAAATATGGTATCTAATAGCCTTTCTGGAAGCCATTTCACTTTACCTGCTTATTTTTCTGACAGTCTTTTTATACGTTAATTTTTGGGGGCGTGTGTGGATTATTGTAGAATCTCAGCAACACCAGACGGCAGGTTTTCTAGAACTTTCTTCTAACTTATACTTCGGGTTATAGATTGATTGTGTCCCCTGAAAATATGTGCTGTAAATACTCACCCCTATACCTGTGGACAGGATCCCACCTGGGAACAGAGCTTTAAGGAGGCCAGTGGAGGGTGTGTCTACACCAATCACTTCTAAGTTATAAACAGAATGGATCAGGCCAAGGAAGCATGGATGGGGTGTGTGTGTGGGAAGATACACGCCATGTGGAGACCAGAGGTCAGCCACAGCACCCAGAAACAGGAGCTGAAAGGACACGAGGCCCTTCCTCCAACTCGGCCCAGGCAGAGTGCTTTCCCCTAGAGCTGGCAGCCTGAATCCAGACGTCTAGCCTCCTGAGGGTGTTTGTTGTTGTGTTGTTATGTGCTGTCGAGTCGGACCCGACTCATAATGATCCCTCCTTGGGTTTCCGAGGTGGTATCACTACGGAAGTAGATTGCCCAACCTTCCTTCCGAGGAGTGGCTGGTGGGTTTGAACCGCCAGCCTTCTGGTTAGCAGTCAAGTGCCTTAGGCACTGCACCACCAGAGCTCCTCCTGGGGGTGTTTAGATGCCATCAAGTCCATTCCGACTCATAGTGACCCCTATAACAGTAGAACTATCCCATAGGGATTCCTAGTCCATCATCTTTCTGGAAGCCTGTGGCCAGGGCTTTTGTGGGGTCGTTGGGTAAATTCAAACTGCTGACCTTTCAGTTACCAGCCAAGTGCTCCTTTCAAGCCTGCTAAATTGTGAGAAAATAAATTTCTGTTTGTTACAACCGCCCACGTATAGTATTTCTGTTCCAGTAAAGCTCTCAGACTGAGACGATCTGATACAAGGAACTGGTTTGGGTCCCATCCCTTCAGACGCTGCCCAGGCTGAAACCCAGGAGCCTCCTGCAGAGCGGCTGGACCTCAGGTTGTCCAGCAGGCCCTGCCCCCTGGGATGGGTGGGGCCACGCTGGGGCGGGGCCACCCTGGGGCAGTGTTCTCACCTATGTACTGCTGGTGGTGCTGGCTCTGGGCCGCCATGGACTGCTCCGGAGTACTGTGTAGGCTGCTGTTGGAGCCACTGTCCCCAAGGCTGTCCGTCTTCTGGGCTGGCCGGTACCTAGGCAGATGTCACTGTGAGCTCCAGCAGCACGGTCTGGGATGAACCTAGGATCCAGGGGACTTGGCAGGATTCCCTTTGGGATTCTGGGTGTGTATGTGGTAAAAACACATACAGGTAGTCCCCGACTTAGGATGAGGCGCCATCCTGATGCCATCGTAAGTAATTTCTAATGTAAATTGAATACTTTTTTTTTTCTTTGAAGTTTTCATTATCATTGCCTTTCATTCTCAGTAGCCTACAGCTCTTCACTTGTCTCTTGGGATTGGCATGGGAATGATGACATCAGCAAATCACATGTGCAACACTGTTTAGTAATGATACTATGTACCAAAAAACCATGATCTGTAGTATAGATCAACTACACTACAACATACAGTTCATAGTAACTCAAATATGTCGTAAGTCAAGGACTACCCGTATAAAAAACATTTGCCATTTTAACCATTTTTAAGTGTACGACCCAGTGGCAGTAATTATGTTCCCATGTAGTGTGACTATCACCACTATTTACATCCAAATGTCACTCATCACCCCAAACAGACTCTGAATCCCTTAACCAACAACTCCCCATCTGCCCTCCCTGGTACCCACTCAGCTACTCTTTCCCTCTGTGCATTGCCCTAGTCCAGGTATTTCACACAAGTGGGGTCACAGTATTTGTCCTTGTGTGTCTGTCTTCTCTCACTTGGCATGATTTCCTGAAGGTCCCTCCATTATGTGGCATGTGTCAGGGCTTCATTTCTCTTCACGGTTGAGTAGGATTCCAGTGTGAGGGGACATTTTGCTTATCCAGTCATCTGTCGATGGACATTTAGGTTGTCTCCACCTTTTGGAAGGAGCTCTGGTGGTGTAGTGGATAAGGGACTTGACCGCTAACCACAAGGTCAGCGGTTCAAACCCACTAGCTGCTCCGTGGACAGAAGACAGGGCCATCTACTTCCATAAAGATTTACAGTCTGGGAAACCCAATGAGGGTTGCTATGACTGGCTACTGGAAATAGTGCTGCTATAAACATTGGGGATCAAAACAAACACATTTCTCTCTTAGATGATCAGTGAACCTCTTTGTGTAGAACCATAAACACCTTTGCTCTATGTCACCTCAAAGGAAATGCTGAGAATTCCATCTTGCCCCAAGCCAGAAAGCAGTGCCCAGACAGTGCGGGCAGAACCCGGGAAAGTTCAGCCAGGAGGGGCCGGAGGCCAGGTGCAGCCTGGGAGGCAGCAGGGCGCTCGGGGGCAGGGCAAGGCCAGCCAGAGCCAGGAGCACTAGCTGGTATGGAAGGTGGGGCCAGGGGACAGTGACGGTGGGAGAAATGCCAGGTCACACAGGTAACTGCCAGCTCAGGAGCATCCAACCCAAACCACCTCACATGGTGGCTTTTCAAACGGGAATGGCATAACCTGTTGCAAGAGCACATGGTGTTGTTGGCAGCTATGGAGTTGGCTCTGGGACTCATGGTGACCACCCCCCCCCCAAAAAAAAACAACCAAATTCACTGAAGTTGAGTAGGACCCAACTCATAGCGACCCCTCCTTGGGTTTCTGAGGCAGTACCAGTACGGAAGTAGACTGCCCAACCTTCCTTCTGAGGAGTGGCTGGTGGGTTTGAACCGCCAGCCTTCTGGTTAGCAGTCACACGCTCATCACTACAAAACACATGCTGCCGGGTCCTGCGCCGGCCCCGTGATCCCGTGACAGGTTGCGGATCTGCCCGCTGTGCTCCCCGGGGTTTGCTCTCACGGGCTGACTGTCAGAAGTCATCAGCAGGCCTTTCTCCCTAGTCTGTCTTGGTCTGGATACTCTGCTGAAACCTGTGCAGCATCCTGGCATCACGCAAGCCGCCAAGATCTCACAGCTGGGGCTGTGCTCGAGTGCACTGGCCAGGAGTCGGAGCCAGGTGTCCCGCAGGGAAGGCGAGAATTCCAGTGGAAGAAACTTCTAACGTCGCAACCTGCCTGGCTTCTGGAGGTGCCTGCAGGGCTGACCTCACAGCCACAGCAAGAAGCTATGTGGTCCATGTCTGTGGAAACCAAGGTACAAGTGGACTACTGGTTCCATTCTTATCCAATGGCTCCTGAAGAACGTTCTGGAGACCTTTCCTGTGCCCTCCGACTCCCGTGATTGACCATATGGTGAGTGGTCCCTGGGGTACTTCACTACAGTACCTCACAGCAGCTACACTTGGTCTGAGTCACACAGACTGACTGAGCGACCTCTCTGTGCAGCATCCGAGGTGCTAGGCATGAAGCAGTCACACGGAGGTGAGTGTGACACGGTTTCTGCCCTCAAAGCGCTCACAACCAGAGCGGTTTAGATAAGAGAGAGAGTCAGAGACAGAGAGAGAGACAGAGAAAGAGAGAGAGACAGAGATGGGGGGCCAGAGCGGGCTGGGTGTGGAGAGGAGTGCCACTACAGCCTGTGGGCCAAATCCGGCCCATCACCTGTGTTTGTAAATAGTTTTACTGGCACACTCATTCATTTCTATCTTGCCTATGGTTGCTTTGTGCTACGATGGCTTAGGTAAGGAGATGCACCAGAGGCTCCTCAGGGCCGCAAAGTCGAAAGCTGACCTCTGACTAAAAAGATAAGTAGCTTCGTCATTGATGGAGAAGAACATTCCAGAAAATGGCCAGGCCTTCCCAGCCACTGGACCAACATGCCAGGAAGCAGCAGAGACTGCAGTATATGAGGTCCCTCTCCTGGCTTGGGTGGCTTTGAGCAGTGTTCTGGGGCCATCACACCAGGCTTATTCCCCCTGTTGTCTCATTGGGTGAAGATGCACTCGCTCTGTGCTGGTGCGTTCTGTGTGTGAGGAGCTCAGCTCTGGTGCCCAGCTGCTTGGTCAAACACTGGCCCAGCTGCTGTTAGGAAGTAGTTCCACGTGATGACGTCTGATGGTCTCAAGGAAAGCAGGTTCACCTCTGTGGTGGTTAAGTTTGTGTGTCAACTTGGCTGGGCCTGGTTGAGTGGCTGGGCAGCTGGATGTAGTATTTCCCATGATGAGACTGGTAATCAACTCCATGCTGGAATCTATTGTGAGCAGCTGAGTAGCTGCTTTGGGTATGTAGTCTGCTTCCTGTATATAAGAAGCAGCTTTGGGAACTGTCTCTAGCTTATGGCATGCTTGGACCCTGCATGTAGCCCGGTCATTGTTCAGCAGCCTGTCATGCTCGGCCACCCTTGGCACTTTCAATGGACTTGAATTAATGGCCTGCCGTGTGGTTTGGTAACATCGGGACTGTGCCTTTTTACTTGTTAACCTTGGGTTTGTCAGCCTCAGCAGCCAGCAGCTGCCTGAGTAAAGACATACCTCTAGCTCCAGTGGGCCGGGAACAGGAAGCAGAGCTGAACCCCAAGGCTGAGGGGCTTTCACCCAGCCCCTAGAGACTGGCACTTTGAACTTGGACTTAAAGCCTCCAAATTGTAAGAATAAACTCCTGTTTATTCAAGCCATCCCATTTGTGGTATATTCCTGTCAGAGTACTAGGTAACCAGAACAAACTCCAAAGTGTGGTGGGCCTTGTCCAATCAGTTGAAGGTCTTAAGAGCAAAAAGGGCATTTCCCTGGGGTGTGTTCAGCCTTCAGACACAAACAGACATTTTGCCAGAATATTCTTACTGTTCCTTCTTCCCATTACCTGATCTAAGGATTTAGGACCTTCCCCTCCCTCAGCCCCCCAGCCCTAATCACACGCACCAATTCCTTGATGTAAATCCTCCTTGTCTTGATACACACACACATACACACACACTTATACGTACGTACATATATACATATACATACATACACCCACACACCCGCTACTATCATGTCGATTCCAACTCACAGCAACGCTTGTTGTGTTTCTAAGGCAGTAAATTTTTATGGAAGTAGATTGCTTCTTTCGGTGGAGTGGCTGGTGGGTTTGAACCGCCAACCTTCTGGTTAGCAGTCAAATGCCTTAGCACTGTGCTATCAGAGCTCTATCACACACACATGCATATACACACATATACACATACCTACATACACATACGTACACCAGCGCAATTGAGTCGACCCTGACTCGTGGTGACCCCAGGTGTGCTGGAGTAGTGCTGTGCTCTGTGGGGTTTTCAGTGGTTGATTTTTTGGAACTAGATTGGCAGGCCCTTCTTTTGAGGCACCTGGGTAGAGTCAAACTGTCCACCTTTCAGTTGCCACTTGTGTGTGTGTGTGTGTGTGTGCACCATCTCTATCTATGCACGTCCATATACACACATGCATACCCACTCTGTCTCCTTCCCTATCACAGCTACCTTGGCAGCTCTACTCTGTCACATGGTCACTATGGGTCGGAACTGACAACATACAACAACAGATACACACAAAGCAAGGCGCTGGAGATGGGAATGGCTGAGCGTCTTTCCCATGACAGCATGGGCGGCCCATCCTCTGCACCCTGCTGTGCAGCCCGGCTCACCTGGGCTTCTGGTGCACGGGCTGCTGGCGCATGGCCATGTACTGCGTGTCCTCCTGCAGCCGGTTCAGCGGCGAGTCTGGCTTCAGGCGGATCCCGTAGTAATGGTACTTGGAGTTGCCCCTGGAAGTCAACATCCAAGGTCAGCTGTCTGTGCCCTTCACAGCAAGCTGGGCCTTTGCTTGGGGCGCTCAGTGAAATGGCTGGGAGCTGTTTCCCAGCCAGACAGGTGAGGAAATCCTGCACCCAACATGCCCCTGTGGTGAGGCCTCTCTTGCATTTTAGTCTGATAAAGGCTCCTTGGAAGGAAGGTTGGGCAATCCTACTTCCATAGTGATACTGCCTCGGAAACCCAAGGAGGGGTCGCTATGAGTCGGGGCCGACTCGACGGCAAACAACAACAACAACAACAACAACAACAACAACAACAACAACAACAAAGGCTCTGAGGAGTCCTGCAGTGAGGAAACCTGTTCCATTGTGTTTCACCCCAAAAACCCTGTTGATGGATTCCGACTCCTGGACTTCGTGAGCGTCAGAGTGGATCTGTGCTCCACGGATGCTCAGTGGCTGTTTATTGGGAGGCAGGTCACCAGGCCTCACTTCTGAGGTGTCTCTGGGTGGACTCAGAGCTCTCACCTCTGGTTTGCAGGAGAGCATGGTAACTGTTGCATCACCCAGGGACTCAGTTCATCAGAAACTGCTTTGAAAAAACTCGCTATTGTGAAGAAAACCAAAGTCATTTGGAAACAATTAGTCCACGAGGACCTCAGCCTTCACAACCCTGAGATCAGAAGAATTAGATGGTGCCCAGCTGCCAGTGCCAACCACTTGGAAAGGGATCAAAATTGGAGATCTTGGATAGAGTGGGAAGAAAAATGTGGAACAAAATTCAAAGACACAAAAATGACCAGAATTCCTGGTCAGATGGAGACTGGTGCAACCCCTAAGCCCTGGGTTGTCGTTCAGGTCTGGAACTAGACTCACTTCCATGGATTGGCTCTCAGCCAAATGGTAGGAAGGACTGCAAGCAGAACACGCATCCCAGGGAGAGGCACCCCTAGATCAATCGACCATGAGACATCAGGGGGCAGCACTCACACAGAGGGAAAGCTGGACAGACAGGAGTGCACAGATAAGAAGGGCACAGGGAGGGGTGGTCACAGGGAGGGAGGGGAGGGGAGCCCTTTATGGTTGGGGATTGTAATCGGGGCCGTGACACCAAATGTGCATGAGCTGTTGTGTGTAGAATTAATGTGCTCAAATCAATCAATAAAAAATTTTAAAAAAACAAAACCAAACCTCGCTATTATGGAAAATTTCAAATGAAGAGAGACCTGAGTTGCAGCCCCATGTCCCACCACCAGCCTGTAAAGGAGATAGCAGACAGGGCCTCCCCAAGACCCCATTCTGGAAACCCAAACCCATTGCTGTTTAGTCAATTGTGGCTCATGGCGACCCCGTGTGTGACAGAGTGGAACTGTGCTCCATCGGGTGTTCTGAGCTGTCACCTTTGTGGACACACATCCCCAGGCCTTTCCTCGGCGGCACCACTGGGTGGGTTCAAACTCCAGCCTCTAGGTTAGCTGTTGCTGTTGGTGTTGCCATCACGTCAGCCCGACTCTCGGAGACCCATGCATGCAGAGTGCACCTGAGCCCTCTGGGGCTTCCGAGGCTCCCATCTTTGGAAGCAGGCTGCCTGGCCTTTCTTCTGAGGTGCATCCAGGTGGCTGTGAAGTGCCCCCCTTTTGGCCAGCTGTCGAGCTTAAAGCATTTGCGACTAAGGCATGGTTAACTTGGGGCGTCTCCAGGCTTACCCAGAGTCTAGGGTGGGCTGGACACCTCATCAGAAGGAAGGAGCCCCACGGTTTCCCCAGAGCTCAATCTCTGCTTGAAGGAGGCGGGGAGCCAGGGCACAGCCCCGCACTCCCCTCCGCCACCCACCTGGTTCCCAGGCGCCGCGTCCTCAGGCCCATGAACACGGAGCGGATGAGCTTCCCGAAGGAGGCAGCGTTCACGGGGTCCAGCTTGTGCTCCTGGCAGTGGCGCAGGTAGTGGCTGTACAGGGAGCTTCTGGGCAGGCTCACGCCCTCGGCGGTTTCGTAGTTGTCCAGCAGCCACTGGAGCTGGGTGGGAGAGAGGGCCGTGCCTGTCAGAGCTGCGCCAGGGCTGGTGTGGCTGACACAGGCCCCTTCCCAGGGTGGCAGCGTCGCCCCACTACCACAGGGCCCGGAAGCTCACTTGGACTGTCGTGGATTTGCGTTCAGGTTGCTTCTAAGCATTTTAATTAATGGCCTACCTTAACTCATTCATTGAGTCTCTCATTTTTCAGTCTTCGGGTCCTTTGGCTTACTCTATAAAAATCCTCATGTGACCGTGACCTGTTATTGGTTCTTTCTTCATAATCATTTAAACATCCCCTACCCCCATGCTCTGGAGGTCTAGTTGATAAGACATATGGCTGCTAAAGTGAGCGGTTCAAACCCACCACCCATCTCTGCGGAAGGAAGATGGAGCGATCTACTTCTGTAAAGATTTACCGCCTCAGAAACCCGGTCAGGGTCACCATGAGTCGGAATTGACTCGATGGCAGTGAGTTTGGTGTTTTGGCTTTGGTCCCGTGCCATGCATGGTTTAAACACCAAATACAGCACCAACTATGTCCCCAAGCTTGCTGCCCTGGTTGCTGGCTGCTGTTGCATCGGTTCTGACTCCTGGTGACCCCACGCGTGCAGAGTACAACTGGGCTCCACAGGGCTTCCAGGCTGGGACCTTCTGGGAGCAGATCGCCAAGGTGCCTCTGGGTGGGCTCAAACCGCCAACCTTTCCGCCAGCAGTCAAATGCTTAACTGTTCCTGCCACCCAGGGACCCACCTAAACTTCAGGAAATGGAAGGAAGTTCTCAGGCCAAGAAAAGGCTGATGAAAGAAAACTCCTGGGAGCCTTCAGCCTGCTCTGTGCAGGAACAAAACCCAGCTGCTGTTGGGCTGCCGCCGACCCCTGGCGCCTCCGTGTGTGTCGGAGCAGAACTGGGCCCTGTAGGGTTCAGTGGCTGATTTTGCCAGGAGGTCACCAGGCCTTTCTTCTGTGGTGCCTCAGGGCAGACTCCAACCTCCAACCTCTTGGTGAGCGGCTGAGTGCATTAACCATTTGCGCCAGGGACCAGAACCTTAATTTTGAAGTCAGTAAATCATTCAGTCGCTGGTGGTTCTGCCTTCTTCCCCCTCGGACCCTTAGAGATATTTCTCCTCCCTGCCCCTCACTTGGTCACTCTAAACAAACCTGGAGGTCTCCCTTGCCTCCCTTCATCTGGGATGGCGAGGGACTAGCGGAGTAGGGACGTCTGGGAGGAGAACATGAGTTAATGAGGTCAAACGGAGTCATGTGGCCCTAAGTCTGACCTCTTCTGCACGGTATCTTATAAAAAGGACCAACAGCCACAGAGACACACACACAGGGGCAAGAGACCATGTGAGGAACGATCTACAAGCCAAGGACCGTCAACAACGCCTGGAGCTACCGTCAGCTTCCCAAACCGTGAGACAACACATTTCTGTTCTCTCCAGCCACCCACGTGTGGTCTTTCTGTGGCAGCAGCCCAAGCAGACAGCGCCTGAGTCCTGATTCTAGGTGGCAGACCGGAAGGAGCACTGGACTAGGAGTCCTGAGCGATGGGTTCTGGACTGCCTGTTCCTCCACCCACTCGCCGGGGCCTTGGGTGTGCAGTAAGCCGGCTCAGGAGGTAAAAGAAAGGTTTGGAAGAGATGATGTTTTGCATCACCCCCTGAACTATTTCAAGTAAAAGTGGAAGTCTCTGGGTAACTGTGGTGACCTCAGAAGGCTACACGGTTATCTGAACTAGAAGTTCTTCCCGCTGAACTGGAAGGAAACCGACAGCACCCCCGGCAGGTGCCATAGAGTCATCTCTGACTCCTGGCAGCCCGGCATGTGGCAGGTGGAACTGCTGCAGGATTGTCCCAGGCTGTGTTTTGGGGAGCAGGTCGCCAGGTAGGGTCTCAGGGTCCAGGCGTGGGCCCCAGGCTGCCTAGCCCCCTGTACGTGACATCGGCTCCTGACTGGCTTGTGGAGAGTTAGATCCTGGCTGTATCATGTTCTAGTGGCTGAGCAGCCTGGTGGAGCCCCACATCTGCTCTGCGTCAATGCGATCGTACTTCAAGCACCCAGCTTTCTGTCTCTTCATCACTCATTTTACCGAGAGCCGACTGTAGGTTGGGCCCTGCTCTAGGTGCTGGGGATGTGACCATGAGGAGCAAGACAAACTAGAATCCCTGTCCTTGTGACGCTTCTGTTCCTGGTGGGGAGAGACCCACCCCAAATAAGGGAGATGTACGGAGTGAGAGGTGGCATGAAGTGCTCTGAGGAAACTAACGCGGGGAAGGGGATGGGACTTCAGCATGGAGGTGGCTGAAGGGAGAATGGTGATTTTCAATCAGGGGGTCACAGATGGCTCACTGAGCAGGTGCTGAGTGGGGAAAGACCTGAAAGAGGTGAGGATATCTGTGGGAAGAGTGCCCCAGGCAGAGGGCATAACCTGTGCAAAGCCCTGGGGCAGGACTGGGCCTCGTGAGTTGGAGGAACAGCCAGAAGGAGTGGAGTGAGGGAGGAGTGAGGAGGGAAGGGCAGGGAGGAAACGGAAATTGACTGTGCAAGGGAAGTCAGGAGGGCTTTCTGGAGGAGGTGACATTTGAGCAGCACTTGGAGGATGAAGAGGAGCCAGCCATGAGGAGACCTGGGGGAAAAGCATTCCAGGCAGAGGGCACAGCCTGTGCAAAGGCCCTGAGGCAGGACTGGCCCTGGGGAGCTAAAGGAACAGTGAGGAGGCCTGAAGCGGAGAGTGAAGGGGAGAGAGGAGGAGAGGGAGGCAGAGGGGATGAGGCAGGTCGTCCAGGGGCCCGTAGGCTGTTTTGAAGACCCTGGCTTCTACTTGGAGTGAGTGGGCAAATCCTAAGCAGAGACAGGCTATGATGTGATTTGCTGTCACAGGCCGCCCTCTGGCGGCCACCCTGAGAAGAGGCCACTAGTTGGCCCTAGTGGAGGCTGAGGGCAGGAGATGTGATAACCTGCAGCAGACGGTGGTGCTAGAGGGTGGAGGTGGTGGGAACGGGTGTGATTCTGGACACATCTTCGAGGTCACGTCAGAGAGCATTTGTGGATGGACTGGAGGGGCCCGGGGGAGTAAGAGGGGCAGAAGGGGTTCAGGGTTTGAGCAGCAAGAAGGATGGAGCTGCTGGGACTGGGGGGGAAGATGGCGGGGGGAGGGTCCCAGAGTGGGTGAAGGTCAACAAGAGCTCAGCACTGGACTTGTGGCATTGGACTGGCAGGTGGATAAACACCTCATGGGGCAGGAGATCTGGGCCGGGAGCCAATGGGAGCCAGTGGGAAGAGGATCTGGGGGCAGGGAGGACCCCGACTGCAGAGTGGCAACCTTGGGGGAGCCCTGGTGAGAAGCATCCGATACTTCCAGGGCTCAGGGCCCCCTCTGCTCTAGGTGGGGACCTTGGCCTAAGCTTTCTAGCACGGAGGCTGAGCCCTGGGAGAGACTATGACAATGACTCGATGGCTGGGGTTATGTTCCACCCCCAACAAAAACTTATTCTCCTCCTTCCTCTAGAAACTCTACCCCCATTGTCATTCTCCCAAGTCGAAACCCCTTGAGGTCCCCTCCTCGTGGGGGTCCCCACACCTGGTGACTTAGGCAGGCGAGGGAAGTTCTTTCAACAACAGGCAGCTCCCGAGACCTGCACCCTTGCTGGTCTGGGCCCAGCTTCAGGGCCAGCAGTACTTGGAATCTCCTGGGTGACCCCAGTGTCTGTCCACTGGGTCTGGAAAGTTCTGTCTGGTCCTCCTGGCTCTGAACTCTGGGGATCCCTCCCATCCTAAGAGAGTGCATCCAAAAGGAGACAGCCAACCACAGAACACACACACACCACTGTCCTGCCATCCCCTCCCCGGTGGGTCTGCTGTGCACACTGAGTTTCACCTGCGTGTGTTTCTGCCCTCAAATTCTGAGCCACCTGGGGACATTGCTGCATCTTGTCCTTTCACTCCTGACAAGCTGGACCCTGGGTCCAGCACATGGTCCCTGGGACCCTGAGAGGGAGGTCTGGGGGACACTGGGCACACGGGCTGCAGGACACAGCCCTGCTGCACTGCCCTGTCCTGGGTTCCTGTGGCATGGCAGAGAATGTTCTGGACATGCCCTCAGGGGACAGGGACGACCACATCTGCTGCCTTTATTTTCCTGGGGGTAAGCCAGACACCCCCCCGCCCCCCACCGACTTCCAGAATTCTGTTGCTCATCAGTACAGTGATCTCGGCCTCGGGCAGCCGATGACAACGCTCACAGGTGGGTGGGGCCATGCAGAGGGCGAGCCTGGCCAGCACGGCCCCGGCCAGCATCGGGTGGATGCAGCATCGCGCCCACCAGCCGGATCACACTCTGTAACTGCCCTGTCCTCTTCCTGCTCCGCATGGGCCAAGACAAGACCAGGGCCTATCCCCCACTGTGTGTGGCTGACTATTTGCAAAACAGCTTAGGTCTATTCGCTTCAAAAACAAACTCACTGCCATCAGTCCTGACTTGTGGCTGTCCCAGGTGTGTCAGAGCAGAACTGGGCACCACAGGGTTTTCAGTGGCTGGTTTTTTCAGATGGAGATTGCCAGGCCTTGCTTCCATGGCACCACTGGGTGAGTTCGAACTGCCAACTTTTAGATTCATAGCTGAGAGCAAACCATCTGCATGCCTGGGGTCCCTTCTAAATCTTCAAACACTAATCCTACTACTTATCGCAACTACTGATGGGAGAAGACAACTCAACAACAAATCCTGGGAGGGAACAAGAATGAGAGGTGTTTCTGCTGGAAAAGTGAACATAGGATGGAAACTGGCAGGAAGCACCTAGGGGAAGCCTGGCTTCCAATACACAGTGTTAGGGAGCTGGGTGCAAGGCTTCCGTGGAGAAGAGTGGCCTGGGACTTCCTGTAGACACTTTAAATTTTCTGTGGGGGGCACAGGACCACCTGTGGTCTGTACCCCACCTTCTGCCTTCCTCAGGGGGTCTCCAAACCCACAGAGTAGAACTGCCTCACAGGGATTCCAAGGCTGTCAGTCTCTATGGAAGCAGACTGCTTCATCTTTTTCTGGTGGAGTGGCTGGTGGGTTTGAACCACTGCACCACCAGGGGTCCTTGGGGTGTCCCCAGTGCTGACAAGGGGGTACCCCCCTGCACGCTGTCTGTCACAGTGGCCATGTTGGTTGGCTTTTGAGTTGCAGGTCCTTATTTCCAGAGTGCACTGAGTTTCAGGGCAGGGGACCACCCCGCAAGGGTACCTCTGAGATGATACCGCCCTGGCGGCCCCATCCCCTCTAGCCTGTGGGGTGAGCACTGAGCAGGGCTGTTTTCTGCTTCAAGACAGGTGGCCTGAGGCTGTGGCTTCTCTTAGTGACCAGCCCACTGAGGCAGGAGAGCAGGGTGACATCAGGGTGACGAACAAGCCCGCCCTTCCTGCACAGCCGACTGTGCCCGTGCCCACCCTCTGACCTCTCAGAGAGTTCCCGGCTTTCCCTAGACGGGCTTCTGGGCCTGGAATCACGGTCTGTCTAGCAACCTCTCGCTTTGAAGTTGGGTTCACACAAAGTGCTGACTGGGTCTCAAGTTTGTGCCCAACTAAAGAGGGTTTCCTTTTCGCTGATGTTTTAGTTCTCAAGAGAACATCAAATCCCAATATTAAGGGCCAGAAGGCGACAAGCAGCAGACCACTCTGCCTTCCATGGCCTGGCCTGTTTCCAAAATGCCCAACAACTTCCCAGATATGTGCGAAGCCAGCGCTCGGGAGAGACGGGGGCGGGAGGGGTGCCAGGAGACACAGCTTCCTCTGCTTACTTGTCCACAGAAACAAAGACTCTGCCAGCCTCCTCTGGTACCACCCTGCCCTGACGCTGCCTCGAGGCAAGGAACTTTACAAGCAACTCGCGCGAGACAAACGGTCCGGATTCTCTCACGAGGCGAGGGAAGGAGAAAAACCTCCCACAGCTCAGGTTAGTAGGAATGGGCCACTTTCTGCTTCTGGTCAAATCACCGTTTCTTTCCAAGAGCTGACTGCAGGACAACTAGCTAAAGGCATCTCTGTGGTGGCCCAAGTCTCATGTCACCCGTTTATAAGAAGACGTCTAAGAAGGTTGCAAGCGTGGCAGGGCAGACGGAGAGGCAGGCGCGCACTTACATGGCTGTTGAGTAAACCGCTTTTGTGTGAGGTAATGCCTTCACTTTTGTGGAGGTTTCCAATCGCCATTTCAAGCTACAGAAAACGTGTGCAGAAAACAAAACAAAACGGAAGAAAAGAAAAAACAAAAACAAAAACAGGAAATCAGATGGTTAGCATCAGCCAGGATTTGTTTTTATTAATATCCAAATCACGATTAAAGCGCCTACAAGATACAAACGAGCCGGGACAGGAGGCACAGCCACTGCGGTGTCAGCTGCGACAGGGTATTACTTCTTCACATGCAAACTCTCCCAGGAGCCCACCGCCTGAGCGCAGCACCATGCGACCACGTCGCAAATGCTTGCAATTTAACCTGACAGCACGCCTGTAAGTGCGCATGCACAGCACCTCAACACCGAGTTGCTTCATAACCTTAAGCATAAGCCGTCAGCAGAGCAATCAGCACTACACCCTTGTTGTCGGTTGAACTGTGTCCCCTAAAGAAATGTATGAAGTCCATCTTCACACATTTCTTGTGCCTGCACCTGTGGCCTTGTTTGGAAATAGGGCCTGCCTTTGAAGATGTTACCAGCTAAGCAGGGTGGGTCCTGGCCCTAGCTTTCTGAACAGAGTCTTACAAAGGGCAGAAAAGACAAGGAGACAGTCAAACATGGGGCAGACAGCATGTGAGGCTCGGTCTATAAGGCAATGAACACCAAGGAACGTCCAGGCTACAGAAGCTGAGTCAAGGAAGGGTGTCCCTAGAGCTGACAGAGAGAGGGCACAGCCTCGCAGGTACCCTAAATTCAGACCTCTAGACTTTACTTTCTGTTCTTTAAAGCCACCTGCTTTGTGGAGCACCTGCCCCTCACTCATCGACTATCTCGTTAGCTGACCTTCTGCATTTATGACAATAGTAACAAGTCCATCCAACTATTTTGCACATTAACGATGTATGTTTGGCAGTAACAAATGCCAAGGTGCAAGACGAGAGGAATGTTGGCTGTGATGGTTATGGTTATGGTTATGGTTATGTGTCATCTTGTCGGGCCATGATTCTAGTGGTTTGGCAGTTACATAATGATGTGATTTGGCAGTTATGCCATGCTGTGGTCATCTTCCATTTTCACATAATGTCCATTTTCCCACAATGACCTGGTCTTTGGAACCTAACCATGATGATAAGCAAGGAGTGGGTGTATTCTGTTATGGCAGCCGTAGGCAGCTAAGATATACCCCTGGACTGGTTATCTGTTGCTAGGGAGAATCACATGGCTGACACCAAGTACAGTCCAAACCAAAAACCAAACCTATTGCTGTCAAGTCAATTCCAACTCATGGCAACCCCACGTGTGCTGAAAGGAAATGTGGTCCATAGGGTTTGTGGCAGTACATTGAGATGCCCCTGTGGGGATCTGAACCACCAACCTTATGGTTAGTAGCTGAGTGCTCAACCATTTGTCTAAGGACAATGAGCTGGCAGTTACTTCCCAGCCAGCCCAGCCCATCTGCAAAGCC